GCATTTCTAATTACTATTATAAAATATTAAGAGTATAAGTATATCCCAACTAGGTTGACACCTACTTTTATTATAATTATCCCCCTTTTTTTTCAAATTTTCAAATTTTTTTTTCACGGGCCAGCGGGTTAACCGCAGCCCGTAAAGGTGCAACCTGCGAATGTCACACCTCCTTGACCCGTGAACCGCCCGCTGGAGTCCCGGGTCGGCCAGCGGTCTCGGGTCAATCCGGGCCAATTTTCACGGGTTTGGTCAGCCCGTCCGTCTTGACATCTCTACTTTTTTCTATATTTTACAAAAGAAAATGATATGATAGCTTGTTGATATGTATCAGGTACTTAGCTTATGTTTGGTTTATATTTATAAACTGTTTACAAACCCTCGTACTCATTATCTACACATTTTGAGAGACCAACAAGTACTATCCAATTATCCACTTATCCATCACTCATTTTTATCTATTAATAATTTAAACAATTTATAAACACTTATCAAACATGCTTTACACAGGCACTCAAAAACAAAGATCAAGTGCAGGAAAACACCAGTATCAAGGATTATCTTTTATTACCCCTTGGTTTTGCAATCTTGTAAACTGTGAGCTCAGCTGTTCTTGCCTATTGTATTGGTTTACTTCTGGTTGCCTTGAATCAAACCGACTACCAAGTCTCTGTCTCGAATAGCTTCCCAGGGTCTCTCCACTCCAGGAACAGGAAATTGTGCAGGCCGATTCCGCCAGTCACGGTTGTCTGTTTCAGAATAACGACCCTGAGCCTGATTCGGAACCTGTAAAAAGCAAATCGTAGCCTATCATATTATCATTAAAGGATGTAATCAGGAAAAAAAAGGACGAATTAATGGCTCCTTTCAATTTCGATCAATTGCAAAACGATGTATACAAATGTATACCCAAGAAACAAAAAATGAATGAACAAGAACACCACAAAATAGTTGTAGCAGTTTGGCTAAATAGGAAAGACAGATGTTTTTGTGATCAAAGTCCAGACAAACTCACGTTGCTTTCTCCATGACCCCAGCCTGGATCAATACCAGAAAATTCAACTTCAACTTCTTGTTTAACCTTCAGAATTTCCTCAGAGATGTTGACCACCTAAAAAAAGATAATCAGCCATATCAAACTCGAGGAAATCAAATAATGGCACTGCCAAAGAATGCATCCGATAAATCTCGAAGATAGTGAAAAAACACAATATAACAACATGCACATGCCAAAGGTTGTACGAAATAGAAGTGGCAGATCTAAGTGATGCTGTATGTGACAGTTGAAAGGATTATTCAATGAAAGAACAATAGCACTACAGCAAAATGCATCATTCTCCATCCCTGAAGAAAAATGGCCCAATGAGCAAATAAGACTAAAAGAATCGGCCTCAACTAATGCCTAGCGGTATATGTAGGAAGAAATTACACGAACACTGGAAAGACAACAACATAAACTAGGCAAATAGATTCAGAAATAAAGAGAGAGAATTTAAATTCA